ATATATATATATATATATATATATATATATATATATATATATATATATATATATATATATATATATATTTTACACTTTCATTAGCCCAATAAAGGACAGCGGACTTCTACATATAATCATCACCTCACCCCTGCTCCTCTCGGGCAGCCAGGTCAACATTTGTGGTGGCCCATACCACAGCCCCTCCCTGAACCCTCCTCCCCACCCGGAATATCAGCATGTTCTCGCCAGAAGTTGCTGTTTCATTTTAGGAAAGGGAATGGAACCAGTGTTAAACAAAGGTGAACAGTGGTGAGCAGTTAGCAAGTCAGTGAGAACAACTCAACAGTAACAGTGCATTGCCGGGTGACCTTCACACGGTAGGGTCCCAGGTACTTGGTGATAGCGGCCCGTGAAGGACCCAACAACCAGCGTGTGTTAATCGTCGATAGGAAGGCCTGGGACCACACACTCACTCATATAACACATCTGTGGGGAATTACTACACCGTCAGGCCCCTCATAACACCATATGTGAAGGAGTTACTACACCCACGTGAGGCCCCTCATAGCACCATCTGTGAGGTACTACACCCGTGAGGCCCCTCATAACACCATCTGTGAGGGAATTACTACGCCCGTGAGGCCCCTCATAACACCATCTGTGAGATTACTACACCGCATTGAAGCCCCTCATAACACCATCTGTGAGGGGAATTACTACATACCCGCAGTGAGGCCCCTCATAACACCATCTGTGAGGGAATTACTACACCACGTGAGGCCTCATAACACCATCTGTGGGGAGATTACTACACCGCATTAGAGCCCCTCATAACACACCATCTGTGGGGAGTACTACACCCGCGTGAGGCCCCTCATAACACCATCTGTGGGGATTTTACTGCACCGCATTTGAGCCCCTGTAACACCATCTGTGAGGAACTACTACACCCGCGTGAGGTCCTCCTAACACCATCTGGGAGGGGAGTTACTACACTCACGTTTTTGCTGTTCAACACCTACAATAATCTGTGTGTTCACTGTATGTTCCTTTACCTTTCTCTAATGAAGGCTTTTGAAGCTTGCAATGTATGTAATAAGTCATTTATGTCCAATGTATATTTTTTCAGCCTTAGAGACTTAGAACTTTTCAATAAACCGTCAATTGTGTATTATTATTATTATGACTGTGACGGGGAATGCTACCTCTGGTCCACCAGGATACTAAAGCAGTCCTAGACTGTTATATTATTTCACACAAAGCCTGTTCAGCGAGCTTATGGCGCCCGTGAACCTCTAATAGGGACTACCCATTATCGCATTAGGTGTGGTCAGAGTAACGTTTACCAAATCTCCCGACCCGAGAAACAGGATCCATATATATTTCATTAGCCCAATAAAGCCTACAAACTGCAGACTAAGCTAAAAATTAATTATATTTCATACATAAGCCTCGCTTCATAATTTTTTAAACATTATTATTGAGATTAGGTTTTACCTTAGTCGAAAAGTAATAAACTCGTACAACAGCAGACCGACATGCAAATTTCATAATACTATCAGCACTGCTGTTAGATCTTAGATCATTGCATATGTGTGTATGGAAAAGTTCCTAAGAATGTCAGCTCTATGTACTTCATATTTCCCAAAGAACGCTTTTATACTGTAGTTTTGGGTTATTTGTCAAGTTGAAGAAGAAAATAGACAGAGAAAAATGAAATAGCGCTACTATACAATACAAGATATTTTCTTTACAAAACATCCAAATAAAAAGGGGTAAATTAAGCTCATTACTATAATGAGATTTATTAGGATAATGAATGTGCAAAGAAGGTCACCTGGGGCAGCCAGCACATCCTCACACCTGGGACTAACAGCATGACACCATCCGTGATTTTCAATCTTGCTTAGTAGCTCCATTAAGCTCACATATCTTGCAATATGTATATGAAACCAGCAATTTGTTATTCTGATCTGTTCTTCAATAAGGCTCATTCTCGATTCATAACAAAAAAAATACAAAATGAAGCTTAGCAGACAGCCGTCTTGAGACTAAAAATTACATTATAATTATATTTTGTTAGAAAATGTACAATAAAAAAGCTTAACAGAAGTGAGTTTTAAATGTTCAAAAGAAACTTCATCGAAAGTAATGATGAGCTGTTTGAAAAAAAAAAGAGAAAAAAGAGAGGATTTAATCAAGAAAAACTGCATAAAAATTAAATTTAACTTATCAATAATAACCGTCCCAAGTTTGGAAATGATTGATTAGAATTAAAAATGCCTCTTTAGTTGTTATGTTTTGCAGGTCAATTGTCCACTGCTGTTGTTACTCAGTTAGCAAACCTTACCATGTTTGGTTTTTCATAAAGGTCAGTATGCACTATTGGTTGCAAATCTGGTAGTGTTCTGCATTATGACTGATTAGTATGCCAAGATTAGTTAATGTAAATCTATTAGGGTTTTTCACAGGTACAGTACCTGTAATAAAAACGTGTTACAGTACCTTTGTAAATATAATTTTCCCCAAAGTCATATTTCATGCACAAACTACCCATTATGCAACCAACAAAAGAGGAGTTTAAGACTTCTGGACACACTTGGTACTATTCACCGTATGCACGTTACATCACCTCCAACGAAATATCTATCACAGTATAGAAAAAGAAAGAGAACTTTGTTGGCATGAAATCATTATATACAGCTTTATATGGTGTAAAATAAGACAAAATCAGCAGTTATGAGCCACAGATGAAGGAAAACCTCAATTAAAAGCTTTTTACGAACTTAATAACTAGAAATGAACATTGATATTTAAAATGTGACAGGTGGCATAAGCAGGACCATAGGTTTTGAAACCCTTCTTTCAGGTACATGTCAACCCATTACTTAATCATTAACATTCACAAGTTAGATAAGAGGCATCAAGCATTAATGCACCATAAACTCAAGTCATTCCTGACAAATTAATATGCTCTGGTAGATGGTGGAGGAGACAGCAGCTGCCCCAATACATGTCAGCAATAGCAAGCTGTTCCAAGTCAGTCAAAAACTTTCTGTAAGAAACTTAATAATTTTACACACTGAGCTTAGCGTAGAGTGTTTTCAAAAAATATTTCAGCAGGTATTAGTAAAAATAAGGTAACTAGAGTGAAATTCCATTAAAAAAGTAGGTAGTCATGAATCTACGTTTAAAATAATCAAGAGGAAATTTGAGGTAATTACCAATGGTATTGGGGTTTGTCTGTAAATAATGTTAGGAATCCATAGGAAAGTGAAGCATCAGCAAGCAATGTGAGAGTAATTATAGCCATCAATATATTACATTACATCTACAATTTACTGTAACTCATAACATAGGCTACGTTTTATTTTCAATTTTACATTTATACTTTTCATTTTAAAAAGAGCATAATGTTGCTGATCATGACAAGGTACATGCAGGTAATAACTCTTAAAATGACAGTAGCACAGAGCTGAAGAGCTGCTGGCTCAAATTCTGTATTTGGGATGGTGCAGCTGAGAACAAACATCCTGCAGCTCAAAATTGCTGAACATATCACAATAGTGGTAAAATTTGAATTCTTGTAACCTGCTGAGCATCAATGATCCCAGTAGGGTTTGTTAGCACATTACGAAACCATTAATCAATGTGGAGTGGTGGGTGTAGTAGCATATCAAATTACATATTAAAATAATTCATTTATAATTGGATTTGAATCCTTGACCACAGGAAAAAAAAAAGAATTATGCAATTTATAAATACAAGCAGCACTATCATACATTCCACCATAAAACTATTTGAGCAGCCAGCGTTCACATCAAACCACAACAGGCGCCCACTGAGGGAAGCTGGAATGAGCGGGCCCCAGACATATATTTATACCTGGCCCAAAGCGACTGTTCAATTAAAATCGCCGGCAGATAATCGTTTTGGGGGTCACAGGCATTGCAGTCAGCTTCTGTTTCGGACTGATCGCCATCGGCAAAATTTGAGCAACTGTATGATCACAAACCTGTAGAAACCAATTACATTAGTATCATTATATCCGTAAAGGGGTTACAAAAAAAAGGCAAAACTATCATGATGTCACTTTCAATACAATTGACTAGCTCCCAGCCTAATATTAGATTTACACTGTGTTGCTCATCATATAACATTGGCAATTAATATCCATCTTCAGGTTCATACAGTAGAGTACACCATGCAGGAGAAAATGAAGGTAGGCAGCAGAAAGTAATTAAATCTCCACTTTAGTTAACGCAGACTGCGCCTAATGGCACATATGCATCAAAACTGCTCAAAGGCTGCTCCTTAACATCCTAGAACTGGTTTATAATATTTCACTTTGCCAGGAAAAGCCATATCTATGTTATCAGTAATCACAAAGTAATCTATCACTAGATTGCCAAGTAAGCAAATAGGTCAGTAAAAACTACTTGTAAACTATGGGTAGACACACAACATAGTGTTGAAGAGTCACTCTCACCAAAGAAGGGAGTTTTCCCCCTGCCAAACACTGCAATCACACATATTCACAAATTTAAACAAATTTCCTATTCTCTGTTTTAATATGTAATTATTGTTTCAAGATCCTTGGGCTTTTGTTAAAATTTTGTGCCATAATTGTCATAGGCATTATGTACTTTTCTTTTATTAAAACGGCGTAAAGCTATATTCTTAATTATTCACTGTTTGGCATATCTGATTTCCTACATACCTGAAAATCAATTGATCATTAATATTAGCTTACAGACTTTTGTTCCCCGCCTTGCTCTTTGTCAGTATATCTTTGAATGATCGGTCTTGTGATACTCGGATCATTCAACTGTTCTTTAAGACCGAACTTCTGCACATCTTTCTCACTGATTCACAACCTCCCTTTTCTAATATATTACATAGGAGGCTCAGACTTTGGAGAAGATGCTCGAAATTCTGTGTCTCTACTGCAACAGTATACAAATTGAGGGGGTTTAACTTAGAACCAAGTCAAGCTTTCAAGGTGCGAATTAAAGCGACTCCTCACCAACTGCATTGTGCAGAGCGCAATGCAGAACACAGATGCCTTGCGTACACAGGATTCTTTGTTGTCATATGCCTGGAGAGAAAAGTAAAGAAAATTAATGAACTCTGTACAATTATAACATTTCATCTCATTCATAATGTATTCACTTTGCACAATTTCTTTAGCAGACACCACCCCATAACCTGAAAAGCCAATTACTGAAGACAGAAAAACACCCATAACTTCAATTAACTGTTATAGGCGCGAGTAGTCAACAAATTTGCGCTTAGTGAGCGGAGCCAGAGTCTGTAAAGAACTGCGACAAGCAGGGAAACAAGTGTTGCGGCCAAGTTATTTAGAGTGTCGGTTGTGTGCCTCGCGTACAGGTAGACCTCTACTCATCCGAGTTGACCTACAGTTATTTTATCTTTTCGTGGATTTAATCATCATGTCTGCCTCTGCAACATTCTCTCTGAAGTCCTCTATCACCAGCAAAAGACGAAAAAGCTAAAACCTTGCCTGGGGTACTTGCAGTTACTCCATCGCATAGATACTGCCATCTCCATGCTTACCATTTGTGAGGATTTTAAAATCTCCACAGCCTATGACATCAAAAAGATTAAGGAAAAGCTTTGTATAAACGGCCCCTCAGCAAGAAAGTATGAAGAGCATTCCAGAGTCGAAGAAAAGGATGAAACAACTCAAGTATGGGGCTGAAACATCTTCAAGTGGTACAAATAGGAAAGGTCTGAAGGTGTACCCATAAAGGTGTGGATATGCAAAATGCTGCTTCCCATTTTGCTGAGCACCTTAACATTCAAGATTTCAAGGCAAGTGCTGGCTGGCTCAACAAGTTAAAAAATTGCCACTATTTATGTGACAGTAAGGTTGTTGGTGAAATGCTGTGCTAATCTTGGCAGTATTCAGCCATTCAGGAAGTTCCTCACTGCTCTCATTAACACTCTGGATTGCCTGAAATTTTATTTAATAAGCCTGTCACTCGCCAAGTTTGGAGTCCTCAGAATGACCAGAAATCTGCGAAGATATTTTTTTCCTGAGCATTATTCATTGGCTAAGATATTGTCAAGTATTTATTCAAGTGGTAGCGCCTACATTAAAGGCATGGGCAAGGCCATCAAACATCATGGACAAGCTTCCCGTCCACTATAGTGCTAACAAAGATGAAAACGGTTTCGCAGGAAATATTTTACTTGTGGTTCCACAAGCAATTTGTACTCAGGTGAGAAAATTCCAAGTGGCACAGCTTTTGACCGGTCTCAGGAAATGAAGGCTCACGCTATTTTGACAATGCTCCAGCCATCCTGCTGTGCAAGGAGAAACCCGGCAACAAGCACAGCGTGGTAGATACAAGCATGATTAGGGGTGATTGAGCTGCACGAGGCATTACACAAACACACAGATGAAAGAGTGTTTGGTGGTCTTGAAGGTAGTAGCATTGAAAAAGACACATGAGGAATGCACACTTTAGAAAACATGGGTGAAACAACAAAGAAGTGCATTTATTTGTTTAACTGGGCTGAGGCATGAGGACAGGTGACTGGCCTCACTTTGTCCAATACCCGACAAAGCTGCTGCATATTTGAATGTAGAGGTTGGTTGCGGATCGCGCACTTCACAGAATTGGTGAACAGAAGTGACTGAGGAAAATGTAATGGGTGGCTAGAAATGAAAGCTGAGGATCAGGCTACATCGCCAAGGAAGTAAGAAGAAATTGTGACTAGTGACGTACCTAATGACAAAGCAAGGCTGATGAAAATACAAAGATGTGGCTGCATATTAAAAAAAAAATGTCAAAGATGTGGGAGTGTTTGAATGATGTATTTGGATTGGCTGGGTGAGGAGCATGGGGAGATGCAGAAATAAAATTCACAGTCGTGACTTGTGGGACCATGTAAGATCAACCATCAGCATACCCACTTCAAACAACCCCAGATCTAAAGGTTTTTAAAGCATATCATATTAAAAGACACAGAAATACTTCAAAAAGCAAAGTGACTGTACTTGCACCGTTGTGCTGAGGCGAAGACACCTCAGACACTGACACAATATCGTTACCCTCCACCAGTGGCTATGTTCTTCCTCCAACCTCAGGAGCTCAGAATGCAGTTTTACACCACAATCAGTGACATTTGTGTTGCCTGAACATTTCATATCTTCTAAATGCTTGTAAGGTATTACTGTACAGATAGTGTTAGCGGTTATGTACAAAGCGTGCTTCGCAGTCTTAAGTTTGCCAGAATAATTATTTACAGTGCTTGAAAAAGTGTTGCACAGTATGTATAAAATTAATACAGCAGTGTTACGTTTGCCTCCAATACAATTTACTGGCCTGGTACTGCACGTGCCTGTGAAGTGTTGCACACAATACAGTATACAATACAGTTCATCTACTAATACTGTACTGTACAAGGTTATCAAGAAATCACCCGTAGCTGTTGGTGCTCATCAAGAAATTGCCCCTTGCTGTTGGTAAGTACCTAATTCAACTCTATTTTTATTTCATTACATACATTCAGTATACAGTATTATATGCACATTACTGATGTCGGCAAATTTGATTACTTGGCAAGATTTTAGTTCCATATGTGCCGAGTTATGGGGGTTTTACTGGAATTTTATTTCAATGATCTATAAGGTTTCTGATAATAAGAGCGGTTATGGAGTTCTGAGTAAACACAAAATACACTGCCACGTTCGTAGAAGGTGATCACGGTATATATAATTTCTGGCAAGGTTTGAGAGTCCTGCTATAATAGCGATGAGATAAGTTTATTTCTACTCTAGAAACAGAACGCCATTTGCAATGGCATCACCAGCAATTTCCCCTTGAGCGATGTTCTCCAACAAATTCACTGCTGCAGTCAGAGGTACTACAAGGATGGCCTCTACAGACCCAAATGCATTTAGGTAAGTTTTAAGGGTGTTTTTTAGCGGTCTAAATCATGGACATTTTGTAAGTGAAGATATGTGCCGTGAAAAGCAACTTATGGACATAAAACACTCCCATGTTCACACCAGCTCCTTTGTCATGTATTCTTTCCTGATACTCTCTCTTCTTTTCCTGTGCATTTACAGAGTATATCAGTACTAGATGGAGATACCAATCAATTTAGAAGTAATGACATTGTTTGGACTTTGTCTTGAGAATGCATTGAGATATATATCATCATTTATAGTAATTCATGGGTAAATTTTACTTTAAATACCATAACTATTTGGATGTTTAGATTCGAGACAGGCTATAGTGGTAGAAATTTTAAGTTTTGGTCATCCCTGTACTTAGACAAGCAGGGCTATGTTATTTTATGATGGTTTGCGATGTATTATGAACGATTTTGACCTTCATTTCTATCAGAAATCTACTAGTTTTGAGTTACTAACCCCCATACGCTGCCGATGAATGTTAAGCTAACCTTATAACTCATCATACCCTAACCTGTATTTTCTTATGCGATCAAAAATGTTTTGTGACAAAAAATCCCGAAGAGATAATTTGTCTTATTGTTTAAACTACTTAATCATAGTTAGAAACTTGGTTTCCCCACATGACCAAAATAATACAAAATTTTTGGAATGTTTGCTACTATGGGGAATTTGTAGTAGGGGCAGCAAATATCCATTGAATTAGTTATTCGTAGCCAATATTTATATATTCAATACGGTCATGCGCGGTTAATGTCTAGATACGTTCTTGGAAGCGTGGCGTTAACGAAATGGGCGTTGTCGATCATCACATAAACTTTTAATTATACTTGCATTAGCCATGTGGAATACTATATCACATTACATATACACTTTACTCTTAAATCACTACTGTAATGTGATACATGTGATTAATTTTTATCTCTTGTGCAAAATACATAGCGTTTATATTAAAAATTATTCACTGTTTTACAAGAGTTCAACAGCGCCCGAGCAGATGGGGAGAGAGAGGGTGGGAGGCGGCCGAGGGTGCGTGGGGGGAGGAGGTAATGCGTTTGACAGTTGGCACAGGCTGGGGTCTAGCAGCGTGTATATTTATCAGTTCTTAGGTGACTAAGCTTCTCTCTTATAAAAAGCCAGTGAAATGACCTGGGTGAATATAATTAACATGGCTGAGTTCTTGTAACATACTGATTGATTTGAATATAAACATGCTATAATTTGCACTAGACAAAACAATTTTAGTACGTAATCAAATTAGGTACATGTGCCTCAGCTTTGCACTAAGAAATCTATGTAAATCTACCCAAAAATACAGTTGAAAAACTTTTTTTATAAAATGTACCACAGTACTGTACACTAATGTACAACAATTTTTTATCTCTTGTGAGCAAAATATACCAAGCGTTTATATTCAAATTATTGGCTGTCTTGCAAGTTCAGCAATGCAAATTATAATCTCTAACTTTAGTCTGGTATTATATATGATAAAACTGTAAGCCTAAAAAGCTGTGAGAAGCGGGGGACTGTGAGGAGCTAGCCGCCACCCAGGCGAGGGGTTGGGGGGAATGGGGGGTTGAGGCTAGATATGTCCTAATTACAGCAAATGTGTTATTGTCAATTTGTAGGTGAAAGATTTTTATCCTCAATAGATGTAGGTTAACATTTCACCTGTAGGCAAATGCTTTTTGGGGGGCACGGGCGTATATGCGCGTCCGGGGCGTTAACCCGGCATGACTGTCTGGGGCGTTAACGGTAGCATGACTGTATGCGCGCATTTCTGTGTTGCACAGTAAAGCACAAATAATTATCTAATAATATTTATTTACAGAGCCGATCAGCCGAGAAGGTTGGACAACTACTTCCAGGGTTCATCAAAGCAGATGAAAGAAATTTACCAAAAGTAGATCATCTGATCATCTCAAGCCCATCCCCTGGCCATGGTCCTTCCACAACATTAAATACAGACATCAGTGCTGAAAACTTACATTTTCCAGACATGAAATAGAGAACAGTGATGAAAATTTACATGTTGGAGTTATCGGTCTTTTGCATCATTTGGCACCCAGTAAGTACATACACACAATGATACTTGAGCAGTAATTTATTCTAACCTAAAAATAAGATATGCCTGTGTATATCAACATTGTATATGGCCACAAGTCCTGTATTTCTGCTGGTAACACCACATACACCACAGCTGACTGCCTCCAGGCTCCTGCTCGGAGGCTAGAGCCAACCTGTGATGACATCCAATTACAGAGCTTTTAAGCAGTCACATGACATTTTAGCTACTTTAACCCTTATTTGTTTACACTTTTTGGCCCAATTTATTGAAAAATATTATTACCATAATTGAATTTAAGCGTTTTCTTTATCCATTGATCTGCCACCTTAAGAAAAAATTCCGACCGACAACTCGTCTATAATAATAAACAATTACTTATACTATATAATTTTTTTCCAACTCTTTCAAGCCTATTCTGCATGATGGCCAGAATTAAGAATAGAAACAAACTCTCCTAGAAATCGATGTGTTTTGCTACCATATTCCTCTTTCACAAGACCCCAAGTGTCTATCTAGAGTACTTGTCACTTCAAACAACCTATCAGATACAATGATCTCTGGTAGATCACCATGTTACTACTTCCTGAATGCCCGTCTCCCTTATTTCTAGTTATTGTCCTTCATCCAATCCTTTCATCTCCTTGGTATTCCCTTCTTCATCCAACTCTGAATTGTAAACTATTTTTACCAGTCTTTAAATTATTAACTTCTCAAAAATATTCAAACACCCTAAATAAATCCTGAATCATTCTCTACCAATGTTTCTTTCATCACATCTACTGGGTACCTATTTCTTAAATTCTTATTCTTTGCATCCTATTAAACCAAAAAATTTGCTTTCTGCCACACCATTTATATCACTTCAAATTTACTCTTACTCTTTGCATCTGGGGTCCATGGTTCACACACATAATACTGTACAGTGGTCCTCGGTGCGCGAGCGGTTCGATTAACGAAATTTAGGTTGCGGTGGCTCCCATAAGGATTTTCAGTTCGATTAACGGAGCAAACCCGATCAGCGAAATCTAGCGACAAACCGCGTTTTGTTGTGCGCATCAGCTGATCAGCTGTCGGCCAGTCGTAATACAGTAATCAGTTCTATGTTTACATTGGTTTCCAGTGGAGTAAATATCAAGAAAGTTAGATCTCTTGAATCTTTCTGCATTTTTAAATTAAAATTATTAGTCATTCTGAAATTTGTAGTTAACACATTGATAATATATACAGTACAGGGAACAGTTTTGTGCACCAATCAGCTGATTGAATTACCCAACAAACTTCTCAGTTTTGCTTTGTTTGAGTGGAGTGAACATCAGTTTGATGGTCTCTTGAGCTGTTTTTGCATTTTTACATTAAAATTATTGGTCATTCTGAAATTTAGTTAACCTATTGATATACAGTGCAGAAAATATTATGAAACTACGAAGAAGGCATTAGAACCAATGCACTTTGTAAAGAATATGGCATGTCATCATGCGACTGCCTCTACCATCAACTGTTTGATATGTAAACAAAGCTGCGAGGAATCGACATACACACCTCAGAGTAAGTTAAAAATATAGTACAGTGGTCCTCGGTTAGTTAACAAGCACAATTCGTTCAGAAGGGTTTTCGTTAACCGAAAAATTCATTAACGAAACCATTGTTTCCAATGGGTTTTTCACGATGATAGTAACTCACCGAAAATTACATACAAACTAAAAACAAAGTACACACTTACTTTGAGGAGTGTGCATCTAGAAGGCTCCTGGTTGATGATGATGATGATGGGAATTAGAATGGGGGGTGGAGGAGAAGAGGGGAGAAGATTAGGCATTGGGGTGGAAGAGAAGTCACCCCATGCATACGGCCCCTACACCATAAAATTTTGGTTCACTTGGTGTAATTCAAGATTATTTTCTTTTAAATCAACACTGCACTGCGCTATATATTATTATCAATGTGTAAAATATATTTCAAATTGACCAATAATTTGACTGGAAACACAGAAAAAAGCATTTATGTTGAGTCTCAAACAAGATGTTCCTTCCTCTGAACTGTAGTAAACAAACTGGCGCCAAACTTGTGGTGTGTTGAGTGGCTGTTTGGTGCACAAAAAACTAGTTCCCTGTGCTTCAATTATGTTCAATAATTGTTAAAATGACCAAAAATTTTAAATTAAACTTTTAAAATTATTGAATAGTACAACCTTCTTGATATTTACTAAAATGGTAAGGAATTTAAGCCTAAAACTGATTACTGTATTGTAGAACTAATACTACTACAGCTGGTGGGCAGCAGTACAGGCGAAAACATGTTGGAAAAAATTTGTAAGGAATTAGATTAACGAGGGTTTGCTCGTTAACGAAGTGAAAGAATCTTATGGAAGTCGTTAACGGTATTTCGTTAACCGAGATCACTGTATTCTATTGTTTTATTTATTATTGCACAGCATACTGTACAGTACAGTACTGTATTTGGATTTTATATTTAGCGTTTTGTAAATTCTATTACGGTATACAGTACTTGTGTACAGTACTGTATATACTTTTCTGTGAGTTAAGGACAATTACCCAATATCCCATTGAAATAATAGATTAGAGTTAACAAATTTTAGGTTGACCGAGCGACTCTGTGGAACAAACTGCTTAGTGTTGTTAGATTGAGGATCGCACAGCCACTATAATGTAAATCAGTCATAGTCTATATTTAGATGATTTTGTTTCCATACATTTCTCAATGGACCAATTACCATATTTTATGGCATATAAGATGCACTTTTTTGTCTGAAAAATATCCAAAAAAATTTGGACTGCATCCTATATGTGAAGTTGCAGTCTCCCATAAGCTAATGAATACCCAGTTGCTGTTTCCAGTAGGCTAAAGTCCTACCTAGCAACTCAGAATTAAAATAAGATTATTGTTTACTTAAATACAGTATCAGTGGGGTATGCTATACTTAATTTAAGTGGTTCTAGAACCTTGTTTGTTATAGCATTAGATTCGTTATAGGATTAATCAGTTCAGGCCCCTGATAAGCCACTTAACACTGAAAATATAATATAAATTTGCAAAAATTGGCAAAAAGTGCATATATATGCATCTAAACCCCTAAGGGAAATAAGAATATCATTAATATTTGTAATGAAAAAAGACAATAAATTATAGAAAAATGCATTATAGGAGTTTAAGTTAGATTTATAGCATTCTCAATTTTATAAGGTAAAACGTTAGATTTATATGAATATTAAGTGAGTGGAATCCATTCGTTATAGCATACCCCACTGTATTATTACTTTTAATTAATTAAAATAAATAATTATTCTAAATGTAAAAGCTGGATTTATAACAACTGTACTGATGATGATAACCTGAGACGATTAATGTCTATAAGGCAGACACCCAACTCTTCAGACGTAGCTAAGCAGTAACCATTTCTGAACTTTTAAAAGTATTACAATCTATTAATGCCATATCTGCAACATTTATTTAAAAAAAAAATACCTGATCCTGATATAAATGAAGATTTACAGATAACTTTCTTTTCACATTTGCATTTGTTAACCTTGCTGGCAGCACTGTAGCTAAGTTAGACTCGTCAATGTAACCACCAGGCTACTGGGCAAAGCTGTGAGGAGTTATGGTTGTTTTTCAACTCGTATTTTTCGGTGGAATATCTGAAACTTTCTTCATTTATTTTTACTTGATTTACATGCACACACCATACTACATACAATGTAGAAAAATTAAAAAGGAAAATAATTGTCAAAGAATTGAAACTTATGTAAAGGGAATATACATTTCTATGTTCTTTGGGTTAAGCTGCCTCAGTGGGGGAGTGGAGGGAGGGTCATGCGGTGGGGAGGGCGTCTTGGGGAGTCTGCAGAGGTAGCGCCCTTGCTGGTCTGCATTGCTATGGTGAAGCAGTGAGTGTTTGCAAATGGCAATTGTGTTAAACATTCATTTGACTTTTATTTAC